CACATTTATCACACTATATATTTTATCACTAATATAGTTGCCCCTGTCATCACTTGTGATACCTAACTTTAAAACACCTCGTGTGAGAGGTGCAGTATTTATTGTGTGATTATCACAAATACTTATTGCAGCCTTTTCAAATCTAATACCCCTCAGATATGTCGAATCACAATCTCCAGAATGATTGGGTAATGTAAGAGTTATTTTCCTACACATCTGGAGGGCCTAGGTTGGAGGTGTCCTTTTACCTGGGTAAAGGTGGAGATAATCCATATCCATTTTCCTGCACTTTGCTTTCATACTATTTTTACATTTTAAATCTTTTAATTAATCTAATAAAAGTTAAGATCCCTATCATTACATTACCTACTGGGTTTTCCATTATTCTTCACTGAAGTGAAGTTCTATATTTTTAAAATCATGTTTGCGTACTTGTAACCTAGCACCAGGGTGACCACTTGCCCTCCATGAATTACATTCCTCAAGATAAAAGAATCTGCAATATGCAAAAAGACTTTCTCCATGTAGGCACTCTCCTGCTTATGTCTGTTAACACAACACAGTACTATTTCCAGTATAAATGTATACTTGATGGAAAGTAAGCATATAGATCAGAATAAAACAAGACGAGGTTGTGTTTAGCAGGTGTTTTAATAAAGCAATGCCAAAAACTGCTGGATCAAAAAAGAGCAGTTCTTCTCCAAAATTCTAACTGATCAAAGTATATGTGGCTAAGGTTCATATGGCATATTTGAATGCAGTACAAAAATAAATCTCCTCAAACTGCATTCAAAACTCAAACTAGAGCAAAGGTTTTAATCAACAAAAATAAAGCTGGAAAACATAAAAGGAACCAGCTTATTATTTCAATAAATCCTTATTTTTTTTAAAAAAAACCAAAATGTTCTGTCCCAAGAGTTTTGGGAGAAACCACATATTTTTTTAAATAAATTGTTATGAAAATTCTTGGATAAAGATAGATTCCAAACAAATTGTTATTTCCTATCAACTGATCTTTAAACTTCTCTATTACATTTTCCAGACATTGATTATGTGCCATCAAGTCAGTGTCGACTCTTAGCAACCACATAGATTTTCTCCATAATGATCAAAACAGATATATTTATTTTAATGCCTTATCAAAAGACATATATTATAAATTACTGCCTTATTTAATTTAATGCCTTATCAAAAGACATGTATTATAAATTACAATTTGCACTAAATAAACCACTGTGTGGAAGGCTGGAGTTTCAAACCTCTTTGTACAGAAGCTGTTTGGGTTTTCATTCCTGGGCTCCATCTCCTGCTTTGTGGTAGCTGTTTGTCAGTTCCTTCTGCCACCATCTTCTAAGGGTGCATCATTTGGCATCCTGCCTCTACCCTAGATTATGAGAGAGATACGACTCATACTTTGTGTACTCTTTTTGGTGAATAAGAGATAAACAGAAAAAAATAGGATGTAAATAAATAAATAAACCAGCCAACCTCCTGGCCATGTAGCTTATATGTGTGTGACTACAGGTTGCAGACCTTCTCCCCACCCCACCTTGAGATATAAAGCAATTTCACAGGATTGTGATTTATTAGAAAAAGAGAACTATAACAACTTTTTAGCTTTAAATATTCCAAACATTTAATATATAAATAAATACTGCTTGGTTAAAGAAGATGTATATACAGTAAAGTAATGCTCTCAGCAGACCACAAGTAGGTACTGGTCTGCTACCAACAGGAATTCCTGTAGTTTAGCAAACTCTTAGAAGAAATGTGGCAGAGATTCCAGATTAATATACAGATTCAAAAATTTAAATATACAGTCAGGTCCAGAAATATTGGGACATCGACACAATTCTTACATCTTTGGCTCTATACA